AAGACATTCTGCAGGACACAGCAGATAGTGACTGAACTGTCTTTGGAATTTCCTGCTTGATGAAAATGTCTGCTGGATACTATGGGCCTGAAGGCCGAAGATGGATGCCCCTATGGTACAGAGGAACTTTGGGTGACTGTCCAGGCAGCAAGATGTCTCTGTCATTTCTAGAGTTTTGGATTTCTTGTTTACTTAGGTAATATTATATCCTTCTGGAGTCTTTGATGGAGTTGAAGAATAAATAGTTATAGTTTTCCTTAGTTATGATAAGAGATAAAATAGATATAAATATTGTAACTGTAATTCTTACTTGATAACTGTTTTGTTATATGTAATTTTACTATGTTAAAGTTAAGGCCTTTCTTTTTTGTTTAAACAGAAAAAGGGGAAATGATGGAGGAAGGTCATTGGCTAATAAAGAAACTGCCTTGGCCCATTTTATTGGTTAGAACATAGGTAGGCGGAGTAAACAGAATAGGATGTTGGGAAAAAGAAGCTGAGTCAGGAGTCGCCATGATTCTCCCACTCCAGAAAGACGCAGGTTAAGATCCTCCCTGGTAAGCCACCTTGTGGGCTACACAGAATATTAGAAATGGCTTAGAACAATATGTAAGAGCTAACCAATAAGAGGCTACAGATAACGGGCTAGGCAGTGTTTAAAAGAATACAGTTTCGAGCATAAGCTAGCCATGGGGGCGGCCGGGTGCTGGGGACGCAGCCCTGCCGCTCCTATCACTACATTCAATTAATCATCTGTCTACTGAGTATTAAGCTATACTTCCATGGTGATTGCTAATCCCAAGACTCTTCACAGAGTAAAGATTATTACAAAATCAGAGCTATCAGACATAGTATTTCAACACACACACAAAAGTTAAATTGTAATTTGGTTAAACTGATTCTAAAAGCCATAACAAAGCCCACAAATATCTCTTCAGTTAAGCCTTTAGCAATGTCACAAAGACCACCCCCAACATCTGTAATGTGGCCATCTTCTTCCATAACCTAACAATGAAAGCAAATATTCTAACTGACGTAAATAAATTCCAACCCAACTGTTTTCGAAAAAGTTTTGAAAACCTGTTTCATAATCTTGGTTGGTTCTTCCTTGTCAATGGGTGTGCTGGCACACGCCTTATAATCCCAGTGGTATGGAGACGAGACACCAGGACCAGGAGGTTGTTTGTTTGTTTGGTTTTTCGAGACAGGGTTTTCTCTGTGGCTTTGGAGCCTTTCCTGGAACTAGCTCTGTAGACCAGGCTGGTCTTGAACTCACAAAGATCCGCCTGCCTCTGCTTCCCGAGTGCTGGGATTAAAGGCGTGCGCCACCGCGCCACCACCAACGGCCTCAGGACCAGGGTTTAAGGCCAGCCTTAGTTTAAGTATCCCAAAACAAACAAGCAAACAATAGACAATGCTTTGGAATATTTGGAGTTACTTAACAGATTGGTTTTGATTGAGAACTATGGAATTACTTAATGTAAGCACAACAGTTACTACATTAGCAACAGGTCCCAAGAGTAACAAAACACCTAGTCAGAAAAGGAAACACTAGGGGAGAGAAATAACCATTTTCTCTCTGGTCAGTCTACCAGAAGCTATCTCAACTGGTCAGGTGTTTTTTTTTTTGTTTGTTTGTTTGTTGTTGTTGTTGTTTTTTTAAGACAGAGCTTCTCTGTGTAGCCCTGTCTGTCCTGGAATTCACTCTGCAGACCAGGCTGCCCTCAAACTACTGATCCACCTTCCTCTGCCTCCCAAGTGCTGGGACTAAAGCCATGCGCCATCACTGCCCTGCAGAGTCAGGGATCTTCTCTCATTTTAACTTTTAAATTTAGTATGCAGAGTAATAAATTTCATTATTACCCTTTTACATATACATGCCATTATACTTTTTTATAACTAACTTCCTCCCTCCCTGCCCCCCATTCACGCCCTCTCTGTTTTGCCATCACAGGAACCCCACTCACTCCTTTCCCTTCTCCCCATCTTCCCGTCCCTAGTTTCATCGGCACATATGAAAGCAAACATTCAGCATTTGGTCTTTCTGAGTCTGGCTGATTCTAACAGAATGATGCCCAGCTGGACAGGGACTGACGTGTGTATGCTGTATCCTGAGCACTTAGGACGGGATACAGTCAGTGCTCAGCAAACATCTGCTACTACCCTTCCTCTTGAGAAGCTGCACCCACATCTCTAGTGCACACTTCCTCTGTTCCCCTTAAGATCCTTGTTTAATCTCCATCAAAACTGCTCTTATTAAGTCACAGCTCTGCTAAAAAACAATTGCTAAATGACACTACACTTGTGAGAAGAAACAGGAAAGCAACAATGACAAGGTCATCTGGAATAAGCAACCATTTGTCTGCTTCAGACGGGGTGCTGTTATGAGGCTCAGGCTGGTCTTGAACCCTTGATCTTCCCACCCAGAGTATGGCAAGCACCACCACTCCTGGGCTGAAGTAAGTAATATTTAAGAGAATTCCTCTGCATAAGAGCATTTTGAAACCTGTGGTGTATAAAGACGAGATTCTGTTAGGAGTCATATGGCAAACGCCTGTATCACGGCAGGGCCCGTGCAATGCTAGAGGACAGAGAGCATCAAAACACCCGTGACTCTTGCCTTTGTGGAATAAGCAGTGTCAACCCTTGAATAAAGCAACAGCCTACCGCTTACTGGGCAGTAAAAAGGTAGCTGAACTTGTTGGGATGCACAAGATTTATTCTTCTGCCTTCCTTGCAAAGCTGATGAGCTATAGACAAGTAGCTAGAAGGAAAAGCAGGTTGAGAAGATCAATGTTAATAGAGATGGCAATCTCTTCACTGCCTTGAAATATGCTCAAGTCAGGTAAGCTTCGCCCCAACGACTTCTTTCACAAACTATTTCCTGTCTATATTTTTTTATTCCATCTGCATACATTACTATGAATTTTTTCGGGGGTGGTGGTGGAAGTCACATTCATTTAAAGCTATCAGCAATAGCAGAAGACAAGGACTCCAGGGACCAATGGAGTCTGCTGAATATTAGCAGTGTGGTTTTTGGTGAGACACACAATGATCCAGATCTCTACTTTGTCTTCTCTGAAACCGATCTGCTCTGCCTGTATCACATAAAGACAGTAAGTGTCAGGTTTAGAATTAAAATGGCACAGAGGCTCTGTGTTTGAGTGCTTGACCCCACAGCTAGGGCACTGTTCTAGGACTATAAACCTTTCAGAGATGAGACCTGGCTGCACGAGGTGGGTTCCGATGAACTCTGCCCTCCTTCTGGTCAGCTCCTCCAGTTACTCTGAATGTGAGGAGGAAAGGAACCCAGCTGCACACTCCCTAGCACCATGAACATGACACGATCAACTGTATCCCCTCAAACTGTGAGCAAAAATAAACCTTCCTCCTCTAGGCTGCTTTGTCAGGTGTCTGAGCGCAGCAAGGAGAAAAGTAACTAATAGAACGGCCCAGAAAGACTCCCTTAGCTGACTGCCTACAACAAATGAGCACTCGAGAGGTGTGGAGTCCTCTCTATGTACTTAACGATCCTCTGAGGTAGTTTCTTATCTCACCAAGCAGGCAAATATACTTAAAGTCAGAAGTGCAAATCCTTGCCGTTCAGCGTGTCTGTTAGCTCTGCAGCCAACTAGAGCTCTGCAAGAGAGCCTGACCTTGTGGATAAATGGAAATACAAAAATTTGGGATTTAAGAAAAATTTTTATGTTAGTCTACTTTATCTCAGGTAGAAAGTCTAGGACAATAAAAATGTACACACTTACTCACAATTTGATGTTTAAGGAGTATGAAGCTGTGTGCTGTGGTAACTGAGGACTGCTAACATAAAGGCTAAGTTCTTCAGTACACAAAGGCAAGCCCCTGCTAGTAAATATGCAGCAACGTTGAATGTAAAAATATTTATTATGGAATCTGTCTGCAACCATTATAATGAGAAATACAAAAGTGTGTGAAACACACAAAACTCATAGCAATCTTCAAAAAACTAGGGGCTGGGGAGAAGGCTTAGTTTGCAAAAAAAAACTGCCACTCAGACATGAGGAACACAGGAGCCAGGTGTGACATGTGTCTGGATGCCCAGCACCAGGCAGCAGAGACAGGCAGGTCCCAGGAGCTCCAGGCTCAGAGAGAGATCCTGACTGAATAAATAAGGTGGAGAGCAGCAGAAAGGTAGCAGGCGCAACATCTGGCCTTCACACACCCAAGCACAGATGTACAGTTGCAGGCACACACCACACAAGCATGTATGGATACTACATGCACACGAATAAAAACCAAACATACAAGCACACAACTTAAGAGCTTACATGTACATATTCAAATTCAAATAACATTAAACATCACATATATTTCAATCTAATCTAGCTATCTATAATTACTTAATTTTACATACTGACTTACTTTAACATGCCTAACAAACTGAGTGTGGCGGGACACACTGGTAATGCCAGCATTCAGGAAGCAGAAGCAAATGGGTCAAGGTGAATCAGGGCTACACCTGCAGACCAGGTGAATCCTTGTCTCAAGAAGCTGGAAAGACGGCTCAGTTGTTAAAAGGGCCTGCTGCTCTTGCAGAGGGTCAGGTTCAATTCCCAGCATCCACATGATGGTTCACAACCATTCATAACTCCAGTTCCGGGTGGGGGGGATCTGGGGAGCGTGCACAAATGCACACATGTGGCATATATACATACATGCAAACAGAACACTCATAAGCAGAAAATAAATTCAAAAATTTTTAAAAAGACCATCTCAAAACTACGAAACAAAGTAAATATATTTAAGTAGTTATATTAAATATAGGCTTATGTATTATATAAAGTATACATTTAAGACACATTAATAAAAAATATATAAAAATATCTGATATAGGCTAGGAAGAAGACTAAATGAATAAAGTATTTGCCACACAAGCTGAGTTCAGATCCACGTAAAGCCAGATGCTGTACTCTGAAGCAAGAGGACAGGAGATGACACGAGAATCCCCAGAAGCTCACAGGCACATGCGAAGACAAGACAAGAGACACTGTCTTGTGGTGTGGTGGCACATGCTCCCCGCCCCCTCGGGGTTTCTCAGTGTAACAGCCTTAGCTGTCCTGGAACTCACTTTATAGACTAGGGTGACCTTGAACTCACAGAAATCCCTCTGCCTAAGCCCACTGAGTGCAAGGACTTCAAGGCTGTGGCACACACCTTTAATCCCAGAATAGGTGAATTTTTGTGAGTTCAAGGCCAGGTTGATCTATAGAGTGAATTTCAGGCCAATCTGAGCTACATAGTAAAACACTATCTGAATTAAAAAAGAAAAAAAAAAGTCCAGGTGATGCTGGCATAAGCCTTTGATCCCAGCATTCAGGGGGCAAATCTCTGTGAGTCTGAGGCCAGTCTGGTCTACAGAGCAAGTCTATGACAGCTAGGGCAACATAGAGAAACCCTGTTATGAAAAAACTAAAAAACAAATAAATTTTTAAAAAAGTCTAAATAACTTAAAAGGTAGAAGGCAAGGATCAATACTTGAGGTTGCACACATAATCATATGCACATACATGATAAACATATACACACAGAGAAGACTTTTTAAAGTTGGCAAATAAACAAACACATTAGTTAATGGCTTAGGAGACAGCTCAGACGGTGAAGGGAGTGTTTTCCATGCAAGCACGAGGACTGGGTGTGAGTTCCCAGAACTGATATAACAAAGTCAGTAATGGTGGCATATAAGTGTAATTTTGGAACTGGGCACCAGATAGGTGATCCCTGGGTCATCCAGCCTTGCATAATTAGAAAACCAATTATAATTAGAAAAATAGGCCAGGGACAGACTGTCTCAAGAAACCCGAGGTGAATGGTACCCGAGGAACAACATTCAAAGCTGACTTGCTTCCGTACTCAGTACTCATGTGCACACGCACAAACAAGCGAATACAAATGAATTTACACGCTAATGATTGTGTAAACAAGGACTCTAAGAGTTCCAGGAAGGAGACAATGGGACCTGAGCTATAAGGACTAGCTAAGTGTCTTCAAGAGCCAGCTCTGAAAGGACAGGTGACTGTGGTCAGAACGCACTGGTGAGGACGCCAAGGAAGCCGACATGGCTGGGACATCGTGCCTGTAGACCTGTGAGAAGGACGTATTTGCGTTCCCCTCACTTTCTGGATTTAGAACACAACAGAGATTTAATAAGTGACTGGATGAAGAAGCTGAGAGCAGACTAGATGTTTTTATAGCCTTAGAGGAGGAACATCTTGGTGAAAATGGCATCTCCTAACCTGACCTAGGAGCAGTAACGCTTCCCAAGGAGACATGGAGAACCTAACACTTCCTTGAACTTGTAGGAATGTTTCCTTAACTTGTACAGATGCTTCTGTATTCAATTTACTTAATTCTGTAAATTCTAAGAAACTGTAACTGCTTCTGTGAGTCCTTCACGCTGTTCTAGCGCACAGAACTAGTCATGCAAGGTAAAATCCCCAGCACACTGGAAGCTTTGCCGTGTAATCAGTTCCTGGGAGTCCCAGCTACACTCTGACAAGCTGTTCTCTGATTCTGCTTTCAGATACCTGAGAGTGCTTCTCCCCGCTGCAAGACTTCTTCAATATTGGCCACCATGATCCTCTGCACATCTTGCAATTCAGTGTTGATGGAGCCGAGATTTCTCCGAGCACGACTATCAATGTACAGCTTCTTGGTCTTCTGAATAAAGGTATCTAGAATGATGAAAGACAACCATTAACAATTTTCCTGTCCATCAAGCCACTGAAATAGGTCATCAAGACTTGAGTTTTACTCCAAGATTGGCCACTGCCCACTGCCTTGAGTTTATTCCTACATCTGCCATCTCTGTTATTGGCTTTGGCCTCCTTGTAAAGTGTTAAGACGACTATTCAGGTGAACTGTCCAGGGACACCTCTGAGTTTGAGGCATTTACTACCAGAATCCATAGAGAAATTAAGCTCCATTCTAGTACCCATTACCGAAAACAGAAAAATTTCAAATGTATTCAGAGAACCTCTGGGTTCCAGGACTTAATTGTACACATGCCCTGAAATAACGCTGGCAACACTTTATCAGCACAGCCTAAAATGGCAAAGAGTTAGATCAGCAGTCTACCTTCCAAATTTACCCCACAATTCAACTTCAAATCACATGTGATAAAAAGCATCCAAAATCACCAATACAGAACTGTGGGAATGACCTATTAGAAATATGTTCAACTCTTGCTAAAACAATTTACTGCTGTTTATGCTGATACCTGACTTGGCTTTCAATCCCTGCTCCATTTTCCTGCACTTTGAGATGCTGGCCTGTGCGGAGCACATCGGGTTTTGGCCATGAAGGATCTCCAGCAGTAAAAGGGAGCAGGCAGTACACTTGTCTTACTCTTCCCTTGGATTTACTAAATCTATCATCCAGAAAAATATCATTTAGAAAATTATATATCATAAAAATTAGCATTAGGCCATTTTTTTCTCTATTACTAAAAGCAAGATGATGCACCTGTCTAACAAACTTAAAAACTTTAGAAATTCTAACACATAATAGTGCTTCTCTTTTGACTAAGGATTTCAGCAATGTATTCTGGTTCTGCCTGTTCTAGCTCCCGGGGTTTATCATGCACAGGTCATATCCTGTGACCTACTGACACCACAATCTTTTACAGGTCTGACTGGTGCTGAACCTTCCCATAATTCCTGTGCAAACACAGACTCACACTTGCTACTTCTGAGTGTAGCAAACAGGGTTTCCAAATACCAGATATTTTCTAATTAGAGCTTCTTATTCTACTGAAAAAAAATTATCATCTTTACTGATTTCCAAACTCTGACTTCATAAAATTAGTCTCACTTTGTTGTCTATGGATAGGCGAAAAGAGCTCAGCTGTGGCGAGGCAGTCAAGTGTACTGCCATGCAGAATCTGTCCCAGACTAAACTACAGAAAGGCACATGGGAGCAGGACAAAACACTGGAAAAGTTTACTGATAAGAAGGAAGCCTTCTTCATTCAAAGAGACAAAAAGATAAGTTGGAGAAGAGACAGAATCAAACTCTTCCTATTATTTAACTAGGCAAATTCCACAGGAATATTATAGCCAGTCTATCAGAAAGTTTCTCCACAATGTTTACTCCCTTAACAGAGAAAGGCAGGGTCTAGTCTTACCAAATTCGATGAAGGAATAGGGCCTAGACACGGTGGGCACCTTCTTCCCATGCTGCTCATCAAATTCCGAGTGCAAGTCTTCCAGGTAGGCAAAGGCCAACTTCTTAGGGAAGGCAGCTTCACACAAGACCAAGTAACACACGCCCTGCTCAATAATGTAGCTGGAGGAAAAAGCAGGACACAGTTACTCATGAAGGACCCGTACTTCATGCTGAGGCTGACTTTTAGGGCCACATCAGCTTTTGAAAACTCTGACCTGAGTAATACGGTTCACTTCAGATCACAAATTGTTAGAACCAAGAAACCAACTATCTTTCCACTACTAAATATGTATCCAAAAGAACAGAGCTGCCAAGGCTGGCTCAGCATCAAGGACACTTGTTCTTGAAAGGGATCTGAGTTCGTTCTCAGCACTCACAGTGTAGCTCACAACCATCTGTACCTCTATTTCCAGAGGATTTGAACACCTTTTCTGACCTCTGTGAACAGCAGGCATGTGCACACATACACAGGCACACACATGCAGCAGAAAACTCATATACATAAAATAGGAAAAGCACCCACAAGAGAGTAGGAACATTGTGACTGTTTATTAATCACACAATTATTCAATTAATATATATTAAGATCTAAGAGGTTGTTTTTGAAAGCTACAGGTGTGACTTCATCCATCCTTTGACCCTGTATGACAAAAATATTACTGTACATACATTAAAGTCCTTCCATCTACAACATAAAATATAACTAAAAATTTATGGAGGACAAAATGTTGAAATTTAAATGAGATAGTGTTTACTGGCACAGAAAAAGTCACCTAAAAAGAGCCAAGCTGCCTATTTCTGGTTGAAAGAAAGTTGTAGAATATTACTTTAACTAGGCAGAGGTGTGTTGCATTTGTTTCTGCTGACTATGTTAAAGATGTAAAGACGTATTGTTTATGCTGTGTTTGTTGAACTATGAAAAGATGTGTTGATGTTTCACCTTGCCTGCCTAAGGCACCTGACTGGTCTAATAAGAAACTGACTGGTCAATATCTGGGCAGGAGAGGGATAGGTGGGGCTGGTGGGCAAAGAGAATAAGTAGGAGGAGAATGAAAAAGGAAGAAGGAGGAGAGAAAGAGGGAGAAAGAAAGGGAGATGCCTGGGGCCAGCCAGGCACTGTCAGCCAACAGGCAGAGCAGGAAAAAAAAAAAAAAAAAGGCAAAAAGGTTAAAAAAAAAAACCACCAATTTAAGTTAAAAGAGGCATCCAGAAACAAGCCCAAGCTTGGCCGAGCATCCAAAGTCTCCATGTCCTGACTGGGAACTGGTTGGTAGCCCAAAAGAAAAAGCCAGGTACAGAGGAATTCTAATCAACTGGGAAAATGTCAACAGTGAAACTGACTCCTTTCTGTGGCAGTGAGCTCTCTGGCATTCTGGAAAGGAAGGGGCTTTGTGACTACAAGCTAACGGGCTATTCTTGAAGAAAAGTTAAGCTACTAAAGCTTTTCAAAGCTTTTATTCACGGTACTCTATCCTAACAAAACATATACTAATAGAGCTCATAAATGCAGTGGACAAAGTCAGACACAAATCCGCACCTCTGCCTTCTGTTCCTGACTGAGGCATCCTAGAGTCCTTTAAGGGACATCTAAAGACTTATGTCTCTCTCAGGCAGGGAGTAACTTGTACGACACTGCTGTCCTCCTCGCACGGGCACCTGAATTCACTGACCTCCGTAACTTTAATCTGTGCCACCATTTATGCTAGTTTCCTTCCCAGAGGAGTAAACAGGACTTACTGCCTGACTTCAAAGCTACAAGGACACACACTACCAGTAAAATAAAGGCATATTCTCGTAGTGTCCATAGCCTTTCCGATGAAACAGTCACGCTTCATCACAGTCAAATGGGACATGTCTATGACAAACCAGACCCCACACACTTGCTTCAGAGGTGCTTTTCCACACCTGGACAAATTCCGTTCCTTCTCTCCTGTTCAAGCCTCTGTAATCTCTTTTTTCTGTGAAACTTTTATAATCCCTTTTCTTCTAGTCCCTTTCTTCAAACACACAAATAGGAATTTATTGCTTTCTTCAAAGCACTTCATTTTCACTTCTTGTTCTAAAGCCCAGCTTCTTTATCGAGGTTTATGTTGGGGTTAAACCCCACTAAACCTCTCGGGATTCAGAAGGATCGCTACAGCAGGCGAAAACCTGACTAATGAGGTCTGAGGGTAAGTGAAATAAACTAGCTCACAGAAGTCTTTTTACCACGACCCATTTACTCTATGTTCGCTGTGATGCTCTCTTGATGTTGCCCTTTCGGTATTCCTCCTCCATGTTCCTCACTGTTCTACCCCTCCCACTAGGTTTCTAGTTTATACACGCATAGAGTAATCAAGCAGACATTATTTTAGGGCTAACAGGATGGATAAAAGACTGATAAGGTAGTGCCTTATATCTCGGAATGGGTGTGGCTGTGAAGCTCCCCAAGGAGGATTAGGATGGAGCTTGGCCCTCCCGGTGCTGTATCTGCAGGCACCCAGGTGAGAAGGAATTTCTTTCTCTGGGGCTGTTTTTTTTTTTTTCCTGCAAAGGTACAAACAGTTAATTTCCTAGAATAAGACCTTGTGTCAAATGAAAGTACAGAATATTAATAACTTATTAGGGTAGAGCAAAGACCAGTGGATTACACCTTCCTGAGTCTGCTGCTAGAGAATTCAGGGCTGCAGAGACCTGTTTATCAGTAAGAGCAGACATACTGTCCTCTGCTCAGTGCCTCCTGCTCAGGGCTCTTCTTGTCAATAAGGATAGTTGTAGGGGAGTAGCTTATGTAGATCTGACCATGAGAACAAAGGTTTGGCTGAGTGAATGCTTTCACACACCCCCCCCCCCCCCCCCCCCCCGCAGTATGGGGAAAGGTATACAGTTGTCAGTACAGGAAGACAATCAGGTATAAAGAGTGATAATCTGCGGGGGTATTTCGGGATGATTTCACAAGGTTTCTACAGAACTGTCAGTGACCATCCAAAAGACAGCTGTTCCCGAAGCTTTGCAAATCTGGTTCCCCACAAGTTGTACACTTGTGGGTGTGTCTGTGTGTCTGTGAATCGATCAGCTGAACATTCACTGTATGTACTTGGGGCTCACAACTCTTCTTAGCTGGTGGATTGTGACCCTATATGGCACTGTTTAGAAGAATGTAGAACTCTGGAAAATCTGGCAACACCAGAACGTTTCTGAATGAGCAAAACAAAATGGAAACTGGAACCCATATGAACAAGGCATTTCTATCAGGGCTCTGCAACAATGCATGACACGCTTTCGCTGCAGCTTCACTTCTGAACACAGGTGTCAACACACGTTCCTACAAATGCCTGGGACACACGAGCTCAGTTCTGAGGCTGCTCTGTCATGAATTGAAGTGTTCCTTTGTGGACTATAGCAAGTTTTCTGCTCTTAGAGAGTAAATAATGATTTTATATTAGAAAACAAAGACATTTCCCTATCATTATTCCTCACTATGTAACTATCAAAGTAGTATTAGTCATGTTTGATTTTAAAGCCTGCTATTTGAGTTGCATTAAAAAAATAAAATCATTAAATGAATTTTGGCTTGAAATCTGGACAGAATTCCCACCAATTTCTGAAATGGCCTTCACCACGCTTCTGCTATCTTGCACTACATACTTATGCAAAGCAGCATCCTCAGCATTGAAGACTATAAAATCAAAATGAAGATAAACTCTGAAAAACACTGATGATGCTCTATACCCTGCAGAATCAAACATTCAGTCAACTCAATCCTTTATGTAAAAATAAGACACATTCATCTCATGAGCGTGTAAATTTGCTTATGTTTTAACAAAATAACAAATTTAGTTATACACCAAAGAATGACTTAAAATAAAATTTTGAATAATTTATGACCAGCAAATATCTGTGTGTCCATTTTATGTACCTATATATTCAGTGACGTAAAAATTTCATGGACAGAAAAGTAGGTGGAAAAGTTTAACAAGCCCTGCTCTAAAGCACTGTGGTCATTTGATGTGCCTCTATCAGGAGAACACTGGCCCATTAGGAGGTGTGGGCATCCAGGAGACAATACAAGGTCCAGCAAAGAAAAAGCCTTCACTAGCTCTTCAGCAGAAAAAAAAGCCAAGACTCTGCGAGTCCTACAGGAATCAGAAGAAAATCTCTTTCCAAGTTCACTAACTCTTTCCTAGGTCTTTTGTCCTCTAGTCCACGTAGAGCTACACGATCGTCCTACAGTATCTTCTGCAGGATGCATTCAGGGTACCCAGAGTTACTAAAACTGGAAAATGCCTACGTTCCTAACACAAGGTGAAACAATATTTGCAAAAAATCCATGTGTATCTTTTCTTAGACTTCAAATCATCTTAAATACCTAATAGAGTATAAATGCCTTCTTAATAGCTGTTATGTTGTTTAGGTAATGATAAGAAGAAAAAAAACCATAAAACCCATGTCTGTTTAAAACAGATACAAGTTTTTAAAATATTCTCAATGCATGGTCCTTTGCTGTGGACATGGCTTCCACAGAGGCAGAACCTGTAGACATGGAAGATAACTGTATCATATATATAATTAAATGGATACATCTGTACTCTTTTGGCTAATTTGTCTAGGCTGCCAGTCTCAGCTCATGGGCTCCTACAGGTCTCCTGTATTAACCTATAGGCGCATGCTACCTCATATGACCAAATGGCTCTTTTTTGGTGTTAATTAAAGTATCTTTTTTTNCATGCCTGCAGGCCAGAAGAGGGCACCAGATCTCATTACAGATGGTTGTGAGCCACCATGTGGTTGCTGGGAATTGAACTCAGGACCACTGGAAGAGCAGTCAGTGCTCTTAACCTCTGAGCCATCTCTCCAGCCCCTAATCAAAGTATCTTTAAAAATGCCTCAGATAATACATAATTACCTTATAAAATGTGGTGTCCACCATTTTCTTTTTAAAGCATACCTGACTTTGATAAGCTGAAGTACTTTTGCTTGCAATGTTGCTTATCAGCCATTTGGTTTTCAGCAAGCAGCTCCTTGTCCTAGCAGACCTTTCCACCTGAGCTGCTTGCTGTCACAACGAAGCTTACTTAGCTGATCCTCTTTTACATTGTTGTGATCTTCTATAACATCTTTCCTTTTCAATCTTTTCTGATTTTTAAAGACTCAACTTGGCATGTATCATTTAACACCAATTATCTATAGATAATTAAAAATCCAATAAAGATGGTTGATACTGCTGACTTGACAGGATCTAGAAGTGACTCCTTGAGGGAGTTTCTACACTGCCTTAACCGAGACAAAAGACCAACCCTACACACATCAGGGCTCTGTGGACTGACATCCAGGGCTGGTGGAGCAGGCTGAGCAGCAGCACTCCTCTCTGCTTCCCACCTACAGATGCAGGGGGAGCAGCTGTCTCGAGCCCTCCCCACTGTGACTTTACTGCTGTCATGGAGACAGAAATAAACCCTTCTCCTTTATTTTGCTTCTGATAGGTTCTCTGGTACAGCGCTGAGAAAGTAACACAGTTCCTTCCACCCTTCTTAAGGGCATTGTTCATAACCATGGAGTGCCTGGGGATACTGTTCAATGGAGGGTACTTTTCTAGCATGTATGAGGGCACTGAGTTCAAGCCTCAGTAATAAAACCACCACTTCCACAGCCACCGACTTTGATGCTTTTAAATTCTTTTATAGTTTTTAAATATTATTGTCTATTCTCTATGTATCAAGCAACATGCTAAAAACTTATGAATCTCCTTAAAGTCCTTGTAGAGAAATCCTCTGAAGAGAAAACCTTGGAGATGTTATATTACTTTGCTTGGTAATGTCTTTGAGCCATTTGTGTCTGGCTCCAAGATTGTTTCTAAAGCAAGAAGTTACCTATTATTACATGACAGGTATGGAATAGAATTTGCTGGGCACAGGTTAACAATTTAAATTACTACAAGCATGTTAAGTTAAAAAAAATTAAGAGTTCAGTTTTCTAGAAAGAAGGCCAGAAAAAGTGCTTCCACAAAGAGACTAGTTTTAAAGATATCTTTATGTTTAAGAAACTGTTACTTTTCTGGGCTGGGGAGATGGCTTAGTTAGTAAACTACATGTCTTGCAAGCTTGAAGCCCCAAGAACACACGTTTGTTGTTGTTTTAAGCGTTAGGTGTGGTGACACACATTTATAACCCCAGCACTGGAGAAGGAGACAGGCAAAGATCCCTGGGGCTCACTCCAGCTAGCTTAGCCTACTTGGGAGATCTGGGCCAGTGAGAGAGACTATTGTGGACAGAGCCTGAGGCTGTCCCCAGGCTGTCCTCTGGCACTTCACATGTGTGCACAAATGCACGTACTCTTGCATAAAGCCTCACAGGAGGAAACAACACTGCTACTTTCTAAAAAATGTTTTTAAAAAGATGCATATATGCATTTATTTTTAAATGCATTTAAAAACAGAGTATATGGGGTAGGTATGTGTGTGAGTGGAGGCAACACGGAAGTGTACTAGAGAGCATCTGATGCTCCGGAGCTAGAATTACAGGTGGCTGTGAGCCACTTGACAGGGTGCTGGGAACGGAACCTGGTCCTCTACAAGAACAGGAAGTGCTCTTCACCACTGAGCCATCTCCCCAGCCTTACTGTTGAGTCTCACACTTAAATGATCACAAGGAAATCAGAGCTATACTCACTGAAAAGTCATGGCTCCTGCTTCCAAGGTACATCTGGTAGGGGACTGTTCGTTCAACTTTCGAAAGAGCTGCTTAGCCTGACTCTGATACTGTTGAAGGTCCCGGCCTGACTGAAAGAAGATAACTTCATTGAAGAATTTAACACACACACACAAAGCTCTATCAGTTAGAAGCAGCATGATATCACAAGAATACTATGTAAATAAAATCCTTCATTTAGCGGTTAATAAGATTTATTTCAATAAAGAAAAATGTCTAACTTTTAGAACAAATAAGAAAATCTAATTCCTAGTTTTTCCAAGACCCCAGTACTTAGTTGCTAAGAAGCAAAAGTGTGTATGTCAACTACATGTAAGGCACTCAGTGTTCTCTTTACCATGAGGGTACTATCCTCCTCCTCACCCACTTCCCTCACAGCTCCTGGCACGAAACCACACATCCTGTGACACACCCTGGAGAAAGTTCTGAGAACCAAAGGCCGGTGACTCTCATTTTGATGTTGGAGTATCAACAGAATCTTCCACAAAAGTGGAAGAGCATTTAAGTAAAACTATCTGTGACTGAAAACTCCACGGACACTACCACTTTAACTAGGCAGAAAGGCCAACTATCCTTTATTACCAGAATCTTTTTGACTCTCCAATCTAGGCAGCAAATGTGAACTCAGAGAGATATGTGTAAAACGGATAACACTCAAATGGAACAGTTAGTATTTCTCTGAACAATTTCTTAAAAAGAAAAGGAGGGGTATACTGTAGTCACACCACTTGGAAAGGATCAACGGCATTCCTTACCAACCTACTACATGAAGAGTGAGAAACCAATAGCCATTGCCAACTCATCCTCATCCTGGGGAGGAAGGAGGGCATTCTGTAGCTATGCTGTGAAGCTCTCTACCGCTCAGATTTGCAAGCTGGAAATTTCACCACCAAGCTGATGGTAAGGAAGTGGAGCCTCTTGGAGATGGTCAGTTATGATGAATGTGCGCTAATGGCTGAGGTTGATGCCCCTGGATGAAACCCCAGAAGGCTAATTTGGCCCCTGTAGCACATAGAGACCCACACAAAGTTGCTATCTATGAATTAGAAGCAGACACCAAGTCTGCTAGCCTTGTCCTCTTGGATGTCTAGTCTCTAGACCTAGAGAAGTATCTCTTGTTGGTTATAAACAAGCCAGTTTATACACACTGCCATGTGACAGAAAGCCCTAATTACCCCATTTTTGGAATTATTTATTTTGTATAGAAAGATAGACTGGCTTTCCTTTGGCAGACATCTCATCATGCTGAAATAAAAGTGGTAATATTAGTTCTCCCACAGTCTGGGAGGGACACACCATGAAATATCTAGCTTCCAGACATACGCCACTGAGCCAACAGTAGAAACAATGAGGTAGTTCCAACACGACAGGTCTGCAAAGACGCAAGGACACAAAGACAGTGACCTAGAATGCCAATAGAAATGGGGTGATCAATAAGCATGAGGGAAGCCAGGATAGTCAGACAGAGTCCACTCAGTGCACTTACTGTGGATTCATCTTGTTCAGTATTGCTGTTATAACAATGATCTGATATGATGCTATCTGTCTGAGACATGCTTCAGTATCAGTGTACATATGCATGTGCATATTATGTCAATTCACACAGTAAACGATATTAAGCAGTATGCTTACATGCATCTATCCATGCCAGAAGATGTTAGCGAATATTATTATATGCTTTCCATCAGTAAGAAATGGTGAACGACATCCTATTTTTATGTGAATGGAATTTACCAATCTGTTTGCTTCAGCATGACGTTATGTGAAGAAAGAGATCTGAACCCATACCAGCACTGGTAAGGGATCCAGCTAATGTCGGGAATGTCACTTAAGTGATAATGAAGAACAGCATGCATGATTTTAACCATGGCTCCACACTGGATCTCCTAGTGACTTTAGAAAATATTATGTGCAATCTTCACTCCTAAATCAATAAATTAACATTGCTCTTCAGTTGCTAAAGGCAGATGAACACCTTAAAGGCACAGCTGAAGAAAATGATGGCAAAAACCCAAAACAAAACAAACAGCTCACAAACACACAACCCTGACAATCAAATAAAAATTGATACAAATCTCCCAGCTTTCTAAGACACAATATAAATCTGAGAGAACAAAACTAAAAGTAATACTGATTATAGAAATAATGGTTGAAAGCATGCTACAATTTCAAAGTTTGCAAAAAAAAAAAAAAAAAAGCAATGTCATGCACATTGGGCAAATCTACATATAGAGATTCTAGTATGACAATCAACACTAACGCTGGTACAGCTGGCATTAACATTCCTAAGAACAAAATCATTCTGGCTAAATAATAGTTTTTCTGACATATTTACACAATAGACTACTAGGAAGGCATTAAAATATTTAATGATATGAGACAACATTCAGCACGTACAACTGTTAGTGGAAAAATGAAGTCAGTCTTATAGTATTTTTATAGTATACTTATAGTATAGTCTTATAGTATTATTTAATTTTACATACATACACGGGGGGAAGAGAAGAGGGAGGGGAATATGAGAATATTTGAGTACAGATTATAGGAAATAAACACCATTTGCACTTTTGGTTATATAAGTCACTAAACTCTTTAAATAAGCATGGATTAATTCTACAGTATAAAAAATACTCATTCACTCCAGTTCATTGCATCTTTATACAAAGTGTGTGTAAATCTGGTTTGTAAATTTAAAGACAGGCTAGAATTCGGAAAACACTATAGAAATAAACAAAGTTAACACTTTCTGTCAGGGACTATTCTGAAGAGTTTACATAATTTAACTAATTTAATCACCCTATTTAACTTAGGAGTTGATTAGAATTATTATTCCAATGTTATACTTTAGAAACCAAAATTGACCAAGGACTCTATGGGGCCAGAAAGGGAAGAACTAGGATATGACCTAGATAATCTGACCCCACAGTCTCCACTTCAAGCTCTATGACATCCCACCTTCTAGACCATGTCTTGTCAATCATGTAGTTCACAGGACATGCTCAAGGAGCTATGTGGTAGCTGATCAAAACTCCACAAAAAAACAACATAACCACTGTTTTACAGACTAATGTGACTTGCTTTCAATGTCAAAACCACAAAAGACACACAGTCAGTTAGCTCAGCTAAAAATACCTAAATGCCCTTGATTGTGCTTTCTACTTCATGTAGAAGAAATTAAACACCTGTCTGCCCTGTGAGATATATAATACTCCAATAATGACGAGAATGAAAACAGCTGGCTCTGCCATGAGGCGAACTTGAGGTCGTCCACGGGTATATTTAGGGTTTCTAGTACGTGTAGGGTTGACTCTATATTATGACAAAAGGTACAAGACAGTGATTTGCCTCAGAACCACAGTACTTTTGCCATCTCACTAGGCCTAGTAGACAACTAGTGCTACCAAACAGCATCTTTTACCTTTCTAAGAAGGTTTCAGACTCGGTTTTGTTTTACAAACCAATGAATATACCAGGTATACTTACAAAGCACGGGTGAGAAGTTCTTTCCAGCACGGGTGGCCCCTCAACTGCTGCATAATAGTCAAGTTCCACATCATTGATATCAGGGTGATGACCTCATCCTTCTCATTATCTCCCACTTCCCACATACTTTAGTGCTGCCAAAGATCACTGTTTTCTCTAAGGACATTTAGCTAAGGTCTTATCATCTCTGGATCCTTGATAAACTCAGCTGGTCAAAGGTTAGTTTGACCAAGAACCAGCCTTTTCGTCTGTAGGCAATTATAGTAACCGCCCTTAAACAAGGGAAGCGAGGCAGTTCTACTGTACAGCAGGTACTTGTCTTACTGGCTCCCTATCGTCTACCTGGTTCTAACACCTTTCCTGAAGCTGAACTTCCTTCCAGAACTAGAGCAAAATTAAAGCAAATACAGTAATTTCGAGGTAGAATAGAAAGGTAGATAAAAGAAACGGCAAACATCCTAAAAGTCTGGGTTTTTGAAGAACCTCTCTGCCTGCCCTAAGCCTAACTTTCTAGTTAAGCCCACACAGTCAGCACTGTATAAACTGCCCTGTCTATACGATATGTGTCACTCTCTACTGCATTATCTTAGTAACCAGTCATTCTCCCTAACAAAGCAGTTAACAGCATATATAGGGACTGGCACCTAGTAAATACCCAAAAATAACCTCATGAGTACTGTACAAATAATTAAAAGGACATGAATTACTTTGGCTTGGATAATTAGCGGACTGAATATATAACTATTTGGTCAAAATAATCTATGCCGTAAAAGATATTTCTGGTACGCACCTTTAATCCCAGCACTCGGGAGGCAGAGACAGGCAGATCTCTGTGAGTTTGAGGCCAGCCTGGTCTACAAAAGCTAGTTCCAGGACAGCACCAAAGCTAAACAGAGAAACCCTGTCTCAAAAAAATAAAGCAGAGGGATCAATTCAAGGCAAGCAAGCACCAGCTATATGGAACATGTACCAAATTTAAAAAAAAAAAAAAAGTTACTTCTGTATTCATAAGAATTGAATGCATGGTTGAAAAGTCTTAAATGGGGCAGAACAGACAGTGGCTAGGAACTTAGGTTCTGGTCTAGAGCCAAACTGATACTGATAAGAAAACAGAAGCTGATTACTATAATCAGCAATTCTCAAAAGGAACTTTTGGAAGTGTCTGAACAAGAGGTCAGAGAATGTGCTCCTCCTGCCATTTGGAAGTAGAGGCCAAGGATATTAGGAGACATCCCACAAGGCACAGGACAGTCTCTGGCAACAAGGAACCATTCAGTCCTAAATGTGAACAGTGCCAGGTAAAACAGGGCCCCCAGCTTATTAGCTGTGTGACTTTAAGCAAGCAGCCTATTCTCTGTAAGCCTCACTAAGGGTGACGGGAGCACGCACTGTAACATGGACAGTATGAGGACGGAGGAAGTACCACACTTAGCAAGCTCGGGACAGCACTGCTGTGTACTGGACACTCTACAATGCTCTGTGCATTGTAAGGATGGCAAAGATCAGCATACAATGGGTGCTTTCTGCAGACATTAAGAGTTCAGAAAGACATTATTTAAAATCGAAATTACTGAAGGGAAATAATGAACTCACAATCACAAAAACACTTCTGGGGAGAATTTCTTGTCAATGAAACAAAAGCAACCGGTTTTGGCAGATCGATAACAAATAAATACCAAGTTTAAAGTTATGAATTTTTCTGAAAATTATCCAAGCAGAAACTAGGGGCCCACTAACAATAAATAGCATCTCATATCCACTTTCACCCCCCCCCCAATAGAATTCAATGCAACTGCCCAGATTTTGCTCCTCTCTACCCCACTGCTACCCCTCATGGGAAAAATATTTCCCAAAGTATGTATCTTCTACCACCAGCTCTCTCCCTACCCTGCCATCTCCTTTATTCAGATCATATTCTTGGTCTCATTTGAACAATAACTGTGGAGGTAGGAACTGTACTGAACTTTGACAACTTTACAAGTGGCAATATTACCTCATCCTCTTTCAAAAGATGTCATCGGGCTAGGTCAAGGATCAGGTGCTACAGGAAAAGGAGGTGAAGAAACGAGGGTGATCTTCCCCGACAGAAGTCAACAACAGCCTTAGCGGCAGCAGAAAATAAAAGTCCTGAATTTTAAGAAAGTCCCTAAAAACTCATCTCAAACTGGCTGGGTGATCACAATGAGACAAAGGTATCCTTTTTGTCTAAAGAGAAACAGGTAACACCAAACTCTAACTCCTCCGACAAAGATTTCTTCTCACAGGTAGTCTCTCTACCAACAAACGGTTCTAGAGCTACGGGAGAGGAGGGGGTGCCTGCGAGGTTGCCAGGGTCTCGCTCGTCCAAGGAAGGAATCCATAGCTGGGAGCGACTGGAGGGCTCCGGGCTCAGAGCGCAGCTTACCTGTTCGTCCTCCTGCATCGAGGCGGCCAGCGGAAGCCCGTCCGCTACGCGGGCGATCATCGTCAGCAGCACCATCTTCCCAGGCTATGGAGACCCGGCCGCCTCAGTCGCCGTCCTCTCTTCTCCCGCGGTGGCCGGTTACACCTACCGCTCACTTCCCCAACAGCTAGCCGCTGGCGTCTCCGCTTCCCGCTGAGGTGGCCGGAAACGGCTCCAGAGCTTTCCACTACCGGTCCCTCCAATTGACTTCCCGCCGAGAACCACAACCACCAGCACTTTAGTTCCTCAGTCTTTCCACCTACCTCGCCAACTAGTCAATTCCCGCCTACTTTTGTGATTTTTTTCTTTCACTAAATCCTGTCTCTTGAAGGGGTGTGGCACCCAAGCTGAAATGATTTTCTAGTTTTTTTTTACACTCGAAGTGTTCGAAAAAGGGCTAGAAAGGTGACTGAGAGCAAACTTTTAGACGAACAGAGTGTGAAGCAATTGAAAAGCTTTATGTTTTCTTATTTTTTTTTGTTACAGAAAACTGTGTGTGTGTGTGTGTGTGTGTGTGTGTGTGTGTGTGTGTGTGTGTGTATTACATTAGTGTATGTCTCGGCAGAGTTTTTTTGTGGGGTTTTTTGGTTTGAGTGTTGACGTCACGAGGTTCTTAAACAGTTAGTGGCAAAAGATCAGCAAATAGGGACTGGAGAGACTTGAAAACACCAAGAGATCTCTCTGCTCGTTGAGAGGACTGACGTTCAGCTCTCTTCTGGCCTCTACAGCCTCTGTGTGCACGTGGTGCACAGATATAAGAGGAGACAAAACACCCACACATGAAATTTTTAAAAAGAGATCAGAGAATTTTTACTATACAAATGAACAAAAATTGCATAGGTTGTCCCCCAATCTAGGCTCTCAGCTGCCTCTGACATGGTACAGAAAGGGTGATCTTACCAGGCTTTCCAATGACTTAGTTTTCACTTGCTTTTGAAGCAGCCTCTAGTCAGCTACGCTTAAGAAGGGGTCCTAGTCTCTTTGTTCTTTGGTGTCCTCATCTGTAAGAAAGGGATATTGTTGGTCTCTAGACTAGAGTTTTTGTGAATATTAGATGAAAACATGTAGGTACAATGGTTTTGTAAGCTAAAAAAATGAAATTATAAAAATGAATTTATTACATCAGTAACAACTATTCTTTGTTAAATGCTTATAGTCTTATGAATATTTGTAAATTTAGCCAAACAGCCCAGTAAAATTTGTTAGTTGAAGGCCCCCACTTCATAGTTGGAGAAGCTTCAGAAAGAATTTTTCCAAGAAGGTCACATAGCTATCAGTGATGTGAATGGAATTTGAGTTCCGGTTCAACTTTAAATACTGATATGATAATCATTCTCTCACAGTCTCTCCCCCCACTCAGACAGGATCTTGCTATGCAGGTCAGGTTGGCCTAGAACTCACATCCAGTACATGCTAGTCACCATGACATCCTGCCTCAGCTTGCCACATACTGGGACTACAGTATGAACCACCACCCCTGGCTTCTGATGTGGTTCTTCTTTACCTAGAGATATAGGATTGTTGGGACTGGGGACCACCAGACCCTAAATTTCCTGTAAATAATTTGTTTTCCTCTGCTCTAAGCAGCCTACAGCTGCTCTGAGCACAGAACCCTGATGACAGGGGAGTAGTTTCCGGTGGCCCTGCCACTGAAAGGCCCCTGAGAGCTGAGGCGTGGCCATTGGTCAGGGAAGGCATTATATAAGCTTCCCTGGAACACAATAAAGTGGGCATTCTTGGCATTCTTGTTTCAAGGATGACCCGTGTCTCTGTGTGTCTTTGTGTTTTTAAATCTCCAGGCCCTTGCCCGAGACTCACGACCCCTCTGTAGTGCAGGCAGTGCAGGCGCCACACTACAGGCATGGTACTGTAGTACACGCAGTACCGACAGACATTACATAGGATAAATAGTATATGCTTTTGTTACAGTTTAAATTACCTTCAGCAATTATTCAGAATTATTCATGAGGCTTTTGAGTTAAGACTCAATGAGACCCTGTGATTGACTTCATAATGAAAGATGAAGAATTGGAATAGATAAGAGAAAGAAACTGATGGTGTTAACATTAGGTGTTAACAGAGACAATGTGCAGTGGAAAGCAATCTGGGGGTGTATAATGCTTAATTTGGCAGAGTCATAATATGTTCATAGCTATCTCTAACTTCTCCCTTCCATTCAAAAAGGATATGACTTCTACCACAATCTCAAACGATTGGCATCGATCCTGATAGTATTAGGAAGTTAATGACAAATATTCCAATAAGGCTACTGCCATGTGGGTCAGGGAAGCAAAGAGAGCAAAACATAGTAGGTGTGTGTAGAGAAGGTGTCTTGGAGTGTGAGTCTCAGCTTTGTTTCCATTTGAGGCTCTCAGCATCTCCTAGGCCTGTGTGCATATTGCCTGTGCACTATCAGGCACCATTGCTTCTTTTAAATGTATTTCAATTTTTAAAACTTTTATGTTAGCACATAAAACTGGATTCAATTATGTGTTTTCATGAGTATATGCCATTTACCATTGTTTTCTTATGATAAATTCCACTCCTCTTGCTTAGGCTACTTGGGGTTAATTTTAGTCACAAAATTTCTTTAATGGGTGTAGGCCCATATTTCTATATGGTTTGGCAGCCAGGCTCTAAAGCCATAGCCAGTATCTGAAGTGGTCACGTAACCTTCCAGACAGGCTGTCGCTAACCTAACAAAAGGTCAGGATGTCGTTTTGTTACTTTCTTTGGAATTTGGAGGATGCCTGAAAAGAGATGTTAATTCAGCCTGTGTGACAGCTAGCATACTGACCAGGAAGACATGACAGAAAGCACAGGTAGTTGTGGACATGACTAAAAGCCATTTACCTGGTTACCTAGGAGACAGAATGCTAATGAATTCCCCCCTCAGTTTATGTTTTGGTATAAAAGCTGTTTGGAGAATAAACGAGAAGAATTCTTCAGGATGTGAACTCAGGTCTTCATGAGGGACCCCAGAGAATCTCCCTCCCGATAAAGCCATGTGAGTTGTGTCTTTATTCCTGCGCCTCCACGCACAGTCCAGAGAGATAGTTTATGTTGGGGTCTGGTCGAGAAAAATAATTTATGGTCTGGGCTGGCACCAGACCCCAATAAACGGGTCAAGTTCTACCCCCACCCCCCACCCCCAGTTCTGAAGAACAAACTCAGACCTTACACAAGCCAGACAAAGGCTCTACCACTGATCTACATCCTCAGCCCTCTGCCAATCATCTCTTGAAACAACATTCATAAAAGGAAACCCTAATGGTTTCCTTTTAAACATACTACATGATTCTGGTGCCCTTGAACACTGGAGTTGCGATTCCAAAAAAAAGGGGTTGTGATCTTCTTAGGTTGCTCAATAGCAGCTGGAAAAAGCTAATACTGTGTCTGACCAGATACTCAGACCCTGGGGACTCTGCAAGCTGAGTCATCTTTGCTTCCGGCTCTCTGCGTAGTCCCATACACATCTGGTACTGCCTTGTTCTTTGCTCCTTTGAGCCACATAACAATGACCAACACTGTCCGAGGTACAGGGAAGGCCCTCCTTGACTGTTTTATACTTAATTAAAAAAGGAATATTCAAATTGCTAAAGTCCATGTCTATCCTTCACCTCATAACACACAAATGTTATGAAATGAATAAAATTCCAGAACCTTGGCAGTGGGAATTGGGAGAGGCAGGGGAATTCTCTTGCAATGCCAGGGAATGCTTAAACCTTACTAAGTAATTGAATAACACACACACACATCCAAATTAAATTAATTCATATTAAGGCACTAGACTGACTGGTTTTTTCTGTGTCAAATTGATGCAGGCTAGAGTCATGAAAGGAAGGAGTCTCAGTTGAGGACATGCCTCCATGAGATAGTTGTAAGGCATTTTCTCAATTAGTGATTGATAAAAGAGGACCCAGTCCATTGAGGGTAGTGCCATCCCTGGGTTGCTGGTTCTGGGTTCTATAAGAAAGCAGGTTGAGCAAGTCATTAAGTAGTTCCCCTCCAAGGCCTCTGCATTAGCTCCTGCCTCCAGGTTCCAACCCTGCCTGAGTTGTTGTTCTAACTTCCTCCAATGATGGATTAAGTGTAAGCCAAATAAATCCTTTCTTCCCAACGTGCTTTTTGGTCGTGGTGTTCAGATGAAGCAATAGAAACCCTAACTAAGACAGAAGTTGGTACCAGGGACTGGGGTATTGCTGTGATAGGCCTGACCGTGTTTTTGGTTTGGAGGAATTTAAAGTTTGGGTTAGGAAAGTAGGGGAATGCTTTAAGCATGGCCTTATGGATCATACTAGTAGGAGCACAGAAGACAGTGGTGCTGAGGATGATTCAAACTTGGGGGTGGTGTGGCTCAAGAAGTTTCAGAGAAGAATTTTAATATGTTACCTAGAAATTGTTCTTGTGATATTTTGGTAAAAAAAAAAATGTGGCTGCTTTTTGCTCTTGTCCAAAGAGTCTGCTTGAGGCTATCGTGAAGAAATCTGGATTAATTTCATTGGCAGAGGAAAGCTCAAAACAACCTACGGTAGACTCTGTCATATGATAATAATGGTTATTATTATTAATAATAATGGTTATTAATATTAACTCTAATGAAGAATTATAATGACAATGTGCAAACTGAGAATGTAAAAATACAAAATGTATAATTTGAGGAGAAAAGGAACACTGGGAAGTGGAATGGAGATAAACAGATTAAGAAATGGAAAAATGGAAAACAGGGAGTGGTGAGCTCAGGGTAAGATCCCACCCAGCTAATTTTCCAATCTGTGTAAAGGAATTAAAGAAAAACTCACACTCAGCTGTGGTGGTACATACCTTTAATCCCAGCACTGGGAAGGCACAGCCTGGTGAATCTTTGAGTGTGAGTCCAGCCTGAAAGGTTACCATCAAAATTAGAGAGCTGGTGAAGATGCAATTGAAAGACGTTTGAGTCCAAGGCTAACCTGGTCTACAAACCTGGTTTTAACACAGCCAAGCCTAGGCAGTGAAGGAAAGCAGCAAAAATAGAAAGTTGGTGAAGATATAATTGAACAAGAAGGCCAAGTGTTCGTGTGTGTGCTCTCAGGTACCGCACTGCACATGTGGGAGTCAGTGGACAGTGAGACTTGTCCTCTGGTTTTACTGTATGGCTCCTGGGGCTCCAGATGTGGTCATGAGACTTGG